CTCGAGTCGATGAGAGGAAGGATTGGTTTGTCACGCAGCTTGGAATCGAAGCTGGTGTATGCGTCTTTTGCAATCTTCATGGTGAGGGAATAGTTGAGGGTAGATGAAGCTATTGTGTTTGTTAACAAAATGCACTACGCTAAAAGCTAGTGTAAAGATCTTCGAGTGTTTTGAGTTTGAAGAGAATGAAAGTTATGAGAGGTTAGAAAGCTATGAAAAACTAATCAACGAGAGAGATCACAATCAAGGATCGTAGATCTGAACTCCCGCGGGAGACTGTAGAGGGATAGAGTAGGTTGGCGGTAGCAATCTACTCACTCCACGATCCAAAACGGAACGCGTGGAAGATTCGTCTAGCATTTATTAGTAGCGTGGAAGTACTTCCACGCTGGCTAAATATCTAGAGCGATGTTCATCATCGACCTAGTATGACTAGAGCGGTCATTGAGAATCTGTCTCCAATGACTATTCGCGAAGGACTATGTCATGAGTCGAACTCAGACCCTATCTAGGATCGAGTCGCGAATAAGGCTAAGAGCCGTGTATTGCAATTAGTCACGAATACAACTTACCACTGTTTTCAGTTTCGTGAGTATTGGTGGGAGTTGTCGCTTGACTGGATCTTGGGAATGGTGCAACTGCCTTGCAAGTTCTTCATGTCCATGGGGCAGGCCTCTCGTAGCCAGAAAACAATAGTCAAAATGGTGCTTGCTTGTAGGGTCGTCATTCACTGTAGCTGATCATCTTGATGTTGCTGTAATGACGCACCGTTAGTTCATTGCGAGGAGCATTCAATTGCGAGGTCATTGACCATTCCGAGGTTGATACAATTCATACAAATTGGTTGATTCTGGCGGGCCTTCTGGTGCTAGTGCCTCTACTCCAACTACGGCTTGATGATTCAAACATAGCTTCGCGCTGGTTTTCTTTGTGAAAAGGCGTACCATGCTCTGTCGAGCCATCTTTTGAACTCCCTCGGCGGTTCAAACAAATGCAACATTTGTCGGTCTCAAGGAACGAAAGCGTGGCATTCAAGGAGCTGGCCACTACAGAGAACTGGCGCTATGCCACTCCCGCTTGAACCCTTTCTTTTCGTTTTACGAATATGAATGGTGTGAAATGGTTTCGTCGTATTTCGAATTTTCCATTGCTTCTCCTATGGAGTAGCTCGAGTTGCTCCATCATTGGTTTTCCCATCACTTTCGAGTATCAACTCCTATTTGGGCGAGAGGTTCATTCCTGATCATGTCATTGACCACCCCATCACTGACTAGGTATCTAGAAAAGAAATTAATGGTATAGCACCATGGCGGACAACGGCAAATTGGTTAGTCAACCTTCCATCAATGACCATGTTCGACCCCAAATTGCTATGGGGAACAGCTACTATGCTGATCCGAATACCCGTATTTATTCTACATTTGATGAGGCTTTCAGCGGACTAGATGCATTGTACGGTGGCTTCTTTGGGCCGTGTAAACTCATCATTTCGGGAGGTCCTTGTTGGTTGGGTGGAAAGAAAATCGAAAAAGACATGAGAACACGTGCTCATCGCTATCGATGCTCTGTGGTGGGATGCTCTGTGGTGGGATGTCCGTGGAGGGCTCAAATCAGAACAATGAAAAGCTCGGACATTCAATTCGAAAATGTGTATGTCATCTATATCACGTCTACCAGCCAGCACGACCATGATTTCACGAAAGCAGCCTCCAATCATACGGATCAGTATGGGCTTGCTCCATTCTTGAAACAGCTATCCCATACGTTCATTTCTGAACAATGGAAGAACTCGCGACGCACTGTCCTCGAGATTGCACCTAAAGAAATCACAAACTTTGTGGTGTCAAGCATCTATCGCGAAAACGCAAGATACCAGTATCTAGTGGATACCCCTACGAAACGATACCATCTTAGCAACCAAGTCACGAACTTTCTTCGTGTTGTGAAAAGAAACTATGTGAAACACACGATTGGGGTGGAACGAATCATGGACAACGATGCATTGTCGCGGGTCTTATCTTTGTTTCGCTTTGTCATTCCTTTTGGGTATCTGCCGCGGTCTGATTATGATACTGTGGACCAACTGTGCGAAGCGTTACGTGCTCCTGGACCTGAGTCAGGTCACATGTTCCTTTTCAGTCTATCCGAAGGAATTGTGCACGAACGGTACAAGAAACGAATAGTTGGTTACAGCCAAAGAGCACTGGATACCTTCGAAAAAAGGGTGGAGCAGTGCTTCTTTGCTGTTTCCGTTACATCTTTGTGGCAGCTAATGCACTTCACAAAACGTCCAGATGGGACGAAACAACTCTGTTCTGATGGGACTGGTGGAATTTCTCAAGACTTGGCTCCTACCATCATAACTGGAGGTTTATCTCAGAAGTACCGAGATGACCAGTCAAAGGTGACTTCTTCGCTAAGACCTTTTGCCTTCATGAAAGGCTCCGAAGCCATCCATCCATACCTGTTGCAACTGTACTGCTTACGCGATTTGAGCCAACAGCTATTTGGAACAAGCTTTAGTATTGACTGTGGAACATCCGATCATTCTGCAGCCTTTGTTACAGCTCATCGACACTTTCATCTTTGGCCAGAAGTCTGCGATCTTACATGGCGAGCCTTCAAAGTTCCCATTACAGAGCATCAGTCACAAACTATCTCGTCCTCGGAGACACTGGCCCGTGAAAACAACAGACGTATCTTCGGTTCGGTGGCAAGGAACAAAACATCCATTCATTCTGTCGGTTGTTCCCAAAAGAATTTTGAAGTATCCCAAGACGATTTTTCCTTGCCGATCATACCAGAAGCTGTTGTGTCAATCCCAACTGAATCCGAGAACCAAAAGCACTTGAAGTCAAGTGATGTCGGCACGGAGAAATACAGTCACTTGAAGATTGAAACGAAAACGTCGAGGGATAGTGGCAAATTGATATCACTTATTTCCAATCGTTTCCCTGAATTCTTCCAGCCAAATCGACGAAAGCAAACCAGTTTGTCTGATGTCCTACGAGATCCTTCGTTGTTGTACCAACCTGTCGAGGGAGTGACTTTATGCTATTTTCATGTTGTACAACACTTTCGACAGAACAACAGCTTCGTTCGTTCCTTTAAGGATCGGATCTTTGCTATGAAAAATGATTCAACTTCAAAGAAAGATTCTTCCAAGGGAAAGCAGAAGAAGAAGGTCGCGGAAGAAGACGAACAGGTACAGAGCCAGGTCTATCCTAGAGCATATCACATGATTCAGTGGATCCATCGTTGCCGTACGGAGGAACAAAAGACCGCCATCACCTACCTGATCCTTATTGATTGGATTTTGCGTGGGGAACAAGCTGCTGCTGATTTATTCTATCGATCATACGGAAGCTTTCCATACAACTGTTGGAACTATGCCACAACAAACCAACAGATGACATACCCAAGCAACTGCGCAATGGAAAGCAATATGCACCATCGAATCAAGAAAGGAGCACAACATTCTATCAGAGCTAACGTGTCAACCGAAGGATACGTAATTGAAACTCTTCCAAAACTGTTTGTGAATCTCGAAAGCTCAGGTCGTGATCCTTGCACTATTGTGTATCCAAAGAACGTGTCTCGACTAATGGTATGTGTAACTGCCTTTTTTGATCCCGCTGTTGATCTCTGGGAATGCAGAAGCAATGACCAAGAGACGTATTGGTTAGCCAACTGTGGTACCATGATTGGAGTTCCTTTAACGCGATCCCGCAGATTGGAAAGGGAAATGTCTCTAACTGGAAACATCAGCCACTTCGTGCTAGAGTCCGATACATCATCGAAGACACCCTCGTTTTATTCACGAGCGGCGAAGAAAATGATTGATGCAACGAAGAACATTTGTTGTTTGTCACGCAAGAATGGAAACATCGTTGGAGATTGCATTGATTGTTGGAAGCATTGTGGATACGGATGTCCTGGTGCGTCGTATTTGCGAAGCAACAACAACATGCTAGATCAGACACTCGAAAACAAAAGAAAGGTCAAGTGCAATTCAAGAGGGCTTGTCGCTAAAGCACTTGTCCGTGGCTCACAGTACGAAATGTACACTGGTGGGAGGTCAACTGTTACGGGCAAGCGAAGAAAGGCACCTGAAATGCTGAAATCCAACGAAGCGTTCCTTCAATCGCTAACATACCCCCTTCTCAGAGACACCGCTCGATACCTGGGCCTACTTAAAGATTGTGTTGAGGATGGAAAGATTACACGCAACAAACTGCTCAATGTTCTGGTACAGGCAGCTTCGTTTCTATTGATTCAAACGCGAGCCGAGCTTCTTCGTACATTTCTACACGAGCACTCGTAGAAGTGTACCAGAAAAGCTGGCACGCGTTTGAATCAGAAAAATCGAAGCTGCTCGTAGACGTATTCTACAAAGATCCCATTTCTTATAGAATCTCTCGCAATGTCATGGCGAGAGTTGATCCCGCCGATTTGGACGATTTATCCGAGGCCTCATTTGATGTATGCAATGCGATGGGTTCTTTTGACGAAGACGATGATGGGTTTCTGGATAAGTTCAACGTAGATACTATCATGTAATAGAACAGTCCAGTTATGAACCAATTACTCGTACTAGAATGAAACAGAATGCATCCCTGCTTCTATCTGTTTGCGACTTGCCACTGCACAATGTTGAAGTGTCCCGTGCTTTCTAGATTTATCGTACGAAATATCGAACTACGTTGATAATGGAAGCAGTAATCCAATGAATGGATACGGGCAACTCAAATACCAGTAAAGCTTACTCCGAAACAGAAAAATAGTTGATTGGATTTTTTTTCACCCGTGGAAAAATACCTCTCTAATCAAGGAGGCAATACACATTGTTTTCCATGCGCAGTAAACCAATGATGTGTTTGACCATACTGAAAAATGGTTGATTGTTGATTGCGTAGACTCCACAAAGGCAGCATAATTTCTGCATCTCCAATCCTTTCTTCTGTGCCCCGACAGCTCATAAAACGCCAAACTGTGCAATCATGATGCGAGCAGGAAGACTCGAGGACTATTTGCGTCATCGCGCTGAGGAACGTGCAGAGGAAGAAGCCTTTCAAGAAGCCGCCATTCGTCATTACGAGGAAGAGGAAAGAATGATGTTGCTGGAAGAAAAAGACAAGTGGTCATTTTACAAAGGAAGCAAGATCTTATGGGACCATTTGGACGAAACTCGTACCATGGAGTCGGTCCTCCGTTTGCAGTACAAGTGGAAGCAACCTCTTTTTGATTGGTTGAACAATGAGTTGGGTGGACTCACTTCGCTCCACTGGTTCAACGTTACGTCATTTGGACCAAACTTTACTTCGTATGATGGATGGCCATTTCCTGCCGATTGGCGTGGTTGGGCAACTTGTGACTCGTGTACGTATCTTTGTATGATGCAATGCTTGTAAAATATATCTTCTCAGACATTTTGGTTGGTTGTTGTGTAGTGAAGAGAAGGTGGACTGATGGCAGCAGCAATTCTGATCGAAAGGTATTGACCAACAAGGATGCCATTTTCGTGATTTTCAACAAAATCATCAACCATCGCGAACTGCTGATTGATGTCTGTAACGCCAGTCTGAAGAGTGCTGGCATCTGGACACACGAGATGATGCAACAGTGATTCCTTGACTGCTTTGGACCAAACTCTCTCGAACCAGGAGATTGGGAAACCATGAGTCAATTCGAAGCGAAACACCGCGGGGAAAGCAAGATCAAGAAAGACAGTGTGGTCTTGGATATGACAAATATCAACAAGGGACCCATCAGTCCGTTGGCGAACTGTGGTATCAGTGGTAGTGAAGGTAGTGAAGGTCCCGCCACGCAGCCTCCAGTTGCCAAGAAGAAGAAGATCCCATTCCTTCGTCCGGTCAGGACAAACTTGAAAAGAGACTTTGACGATGCCGAAGACAAGAAACCAGCTGCGAAGAAAAGCAAGAGCAAGAGCGAGTGATCCATTTGGCGGTATGTAATTGGACAGCTGAAGTGAATGAATACCCAGCAAATAGCAAGGCCTTACTTGGCTACACCGCATGCTCATGGTGGATTGTCATGGCATTGTGGCTTCAACAAGACTGAATGTATTTCAGTCCACAGTGTACGAGATAACACGGACGTATTTGCGAAGCATTATTCTTCCAGAGTTCGCTTCGGCGCACGCACGCGTATTAAGATATCCAGCAGTAATAACATATAAACCTCGCCGTCTATGTGCGACATCTAGAACTCCATATTGCTCCAATTCCTTCCAGGGTCTCACGCAACAGAAATGTACACGTACCAGGCAAAATCTCTGTTGGCGCAAGACCAACCCTTTCGTTCCGTGTGAGATGTTTCTGGAGGACGCATCGATCCAATCGTCCTCTTGGCCCATAGTTTACCAACAAGATAGATAGAAGATTGTGCAGATAAACCCTCCTACTCGTAGTACACAGAAGAGCAGCATTCAAAAGAACACAATGCTATCTCCATCATGGAAGAGAGCCCTCATAGCCCTCTACAGCCTTCTACTCACAGTTGTTGTTGTGGTATATGTTGTGGATTTGATTCTTTATGAGGAGACCTGGGCTTGTACTGCTTGTCGGGGTGGTCAAGAAGCCTCTCCCATCCCTCTATTGGTGTACTTTTCAGTCTGGACTTTTTGGTTGACCATTGCAGTCTTTTTGTCTTGGATTTTCTTGGAGAAGAACACTGTAAACCAAGAGGGAGAAAGCAGTGACACAATCAATGCTGATGAGGAACAAGGGGAAGACAATGAGGCAGCTCCAACCATGTCAAAAAGGAAGACCACTGCCCAATATCTGTTCTCCTTGGCTCTGCCATTGGCCCTGACAGTATCACTAACCTACACTTATTACGTTGCCACAAATCCAGCATCTGAGTTTTTCGACAATGACCTCTGTTACACCGCTTGGCGATCATCCATATCACGTGAATTGGAAAAGTGGATGGCTGATTTGTATCTAGTTGGTGCTGTCATTGCAGATTGGATTGTACACTACCTTTGCAGTGTCTTGATTTTGGTTCTCTACTTCTCCGGAGAACTACGTTACGTGGTTGCCCTCCCATTGTCAACAAGTTTCTCCATTTGCTTGGGCATCATCATTGCTCTTGTCCAGCAGAGTGGCAAAACAGCTTACTGTGGGGGCGGCATTTGGTTCAATGTGGGGATCATTTGCATGTTTACCCTGATCTTTCATGTTACATTCTATTTGGGAGCCAATACAAGAAAAGTGGGTTGCTCTTGCTGCATTAATAATGATGCTCAACCAAAGGAAAACTGCAATAGGCCTGACTGTAAGGATGCCAAGAGAGGTCTTGACATGCCTGGAAGTGATCTTAGTATCCCTGGAGGGGATCTTAGTATCCCTGGATAATATCTGTATCAAGATAGATAAACAGTTCATATAATACAAACCCAAAGCAGTGTACTAGCTAGATCTAGCATAGGGCAAAAACAACATCGATACAAGTAGCTGCAAACTCAAGATCGCAGAGAAGTTGGTTGAAGTCCCAGAGAAGTTTGACGAGGATCCTACTAGCTAGTTGTGTGGATCTGTTCACTTACAGGTAGCTCGGCGTGACTTTGCTAACTTCCCTAATCAGAAGCCAGTTGGTTGGAAAATAAATAATGCTGTTGAACATGCGTCCACAAAAAGTCAACTTTCACTTTGTTTTTCCCCTTCAATCTTGACCAGAGTGCGAGTAGCCATACCGGTATATGATGTAGCTATTAAGAACTACAACTAGCTACTGTATCTTGTCCAAAATAAGAGAGGTTCTACTTTATATATATGAGTGCATTGTTCAAAATAATGTCAAAACTATTGGATCCTTGGATGTAATGTATGAATGTACAGCAGCCAGCAAAGAGTTACGGTAGGTACCACTGGCTTGTTGATGTTGAATTGGGAGTCCATGCATGTGCAAATAAATGTTTGTCGTCGTTGACGGGGAAAACTGTGACTATGTGGTATTGGATGAAAAATAACAAGTGAACCACCACCACACCACAACTGAGGCAATTATGCAGTTACGGCGCCGTCACGGTGGCCGATCGCGGTCGTCTGGTGGTTGGTTCCCACTGATTGAGTGTATTGGCCGATCGACTGTAGACGAGCGGTCGTGGTGGCTCTTGTTCTTTACCCCCAAAGACCCGAGAAGCGGGTACGGTATTGACAAAACTGAGGGTCCGTCGGAGATCACTGCAAAATCGTTCCGATTCGCACTGGGGCGACGTGGATGCCACTTGTAGGAGGGTCGTATCATCGACCCGCAACAAGGCATTGAGTTGGGGTTGCGGTTGATACGGGAATGGATCAATGGTAATGTTCCCATCAACACTATCGGCCGTGTGAATGACGGCGAGAGATGGAGTTCGTTGTTGACTCCACAACCGGGCACTGCGAACTTCCACAGCGGGTCCTTCCAATTCGTGTGGCAACGAAGTGGCAATGGGTGTCACAAGGCCGGTGTGTGTGTTGAGTGCCAATCCGCGACTGCATGGTGCCTTCTTTTGGTTGTCAGTAGTCAAAGTAGTAGTGTTCATGGAGGAAATCATGGCGGTGCTGAGTGACATTTGAATCTGATCTTCATATTTGAGTGCCAAATCGGAAAATGTCCGTACGAGATTGTCGCTAATGGACTGTGACGTTCCTTCGTCATCGAGGTATCCTCCGGCAATGTGAAGTTCCATTTTTATCGTATCGTTAGGTGAACTGTGACGACGTTTCGGAGGAGGAGCGACTTGAGGTGGTAAAAAGGAACTGGTGCTTTGATGGTTGTGATGGTGATTGTGATGGTTGTCACAGTAACTGTCGTCGTCACAGTCACTATCATCATCGTCGTCTTCCATAAAGAATCCAAAGTCGTCGTCGTGTTGTTGCTGATGTTGTTTGATGTGGTGTTGAATGTGTTCTTGTACCATTTTCTCGAGACAATCATTGTAGACTTGTGCTTGATCGACATGGGCAATGCTACCCAGTGGGACACTGTCGGGGCCTTGGGTCGATCGCAAGGCGACAATATGACACGTGGTCGCTTCGGCACTGACCAAGACGTCGGTTTGAGCGGGAGTGGCATGAGCCACTTCGCCTTGCAAGACATTTAAGCAGCGTTGCGTCGACATGTTGTTGTTCTGATTGTTGTCTTTGCTTGACAAGCATGACAGCTGTTGACTGCGGGATGCCACACTGGGAATGGATTGCAAGTAGACATCGAGCGAACAGGGCGCCGTACCCACGCGAGGCAGGTAGAGTCGTTCTTGTGGTACTTGTGTTGATGCTCCCAAAGCACTGACACTGGTAGGAGACGACGAGAGAAAGAGGGCCGTGGGTTCCAACTCTGGCTTTGTCTGTGTTTGACAGTGCTTCATCTTGTTCTCGTTGCACAGACTTGTCAAGGAATGACACGACGAACATCTCTGCTGCTTCTTCATGCCAGTATTGCCTCCTCCGCCCATGCTGTCTTCTTCTTCTTCTTCCAGTAGTAGTAATAGAACGAGTAGTGGTAAGTAGATTGTAGTAGTGGTAGCCGTCAGGAGTGCGGTGATGTTATACCCAATGGCCCAAAAATATTGAGAGTACTCCAACAGATTGGAAAAGTAGATTCTTGTTCTGAGATGAGAGTTATTGTGGTGTATTAGTTCCACTTTAATGAGACCCTCTAAGCATGCGTCCAAGCTATTGCTGTTGTGGGTCCTGCTGTGTAGTATGCTTAATACTTGGTGTGGTGCTTGGATGATGGGAGACTGCATGATAATATGATGCAACAGCCACCTCGCAGCACGAGTTTGTCGAGGACGAATGAAACCAGCCTGAAAACAAAAGAATATGTTCTGTGGGCGAAAACTTCCCGAAACAAAACAATGACGTGGTCATCCACTTCCGGAACCCAAACGTACGTAAAAGGCACTGAATGTCTCCAATGACTCTTAGGAGAAAGTGGATTTACTATACTTCAACCCATTATTAAACCCTCTCCTTCAAGAATGCCAGTTTAGTCTTCTTCAAATTTAAAGGATCATGCTGTGCTCTCGCAAGCAAGAATAATCGTGAAAGTCGTGACCGCGACCAAGTCTACTGCCATGCATGTCTCGGAGGGCTCAGGCTAATTTATGATTTCTGCGCGAGATCGCGCAAATAATCGTGGCTTCCACGTGGCCACCCACTCATTTTTCTTTCTCCCACCTCAGCAAAACAAAGCAACGTCCACACACTCAACCAATCACCAAAGTCGGCAACAACCGCAGCCATAACATTAGTCTAGCTAGTTGTTGTTTGTACATACATTTAAGACCAAGCAGCAGCCACCATGTTCCGAGCAATAGGCAGCAGACTAAAGCCACGAGGGGTAGTACTGAGTAGTACATGTAGTAGAAGTAGAGTGGCACATCATCATGTACCGGTTCAACTGTCATCCATTTCGGATCTCTTGGTACATTCTATCTCGACCACCAGTATCCACAATGACCGACAAAAGAGAAATCAGACTAGTGACATGGCAGTCAGGACAATGCTGCGTTCCCTGAATAACCATCACATTCCTACTACTTCAACTTTTGGTAGCACAATAACAACAAGACCACAATTCACAGTCATGCTGGGCCGTCCTCAACGACGGGGGTTTGCCACTTCTTCTTCTGGTGACAAGACGGAGGAAACCACCTTTACGGACGACAGCACTATCAGCAATACTGATAATAGCAGCGCGGAAGTGGACGCCACGTTGGAACGACTGTTTCAAGAACAAAGCAATCTGCAATTGACAGCCGAACAAGTCGCCAATACCAGTTTGGAATTTGTCCCCACATGGTGGTACTTCAGTGACCAATGCATCCAAATGATTTTCAAAGTACAAGAATTATCCGGTGTCGAATTGGGGACTGCCATTATGGGGACCACGTTGGCGGTCCGTCTCGTCTTGTTCCCCATTGTCTTGTCGACCCAAAAATCGGCTTCCCGCATGGCCCATGTCCAACCGGAATTGGAAGTCCTCAAACACAATTTTGAGAAGATTCGCAATCCTACCGCAGAAGACAAGATTCAAATGGGCAAAAAGGTACAAGACCTATTCAGGAGGTACGACGTCAGTCCCTTTCGATCCATGTTAATGCCCTTCATTCAATTCCCATTCTTTCTCGGAATGTTCTTTGGACTCAAAAAAATGCCCGATTACTTTGCCGCCGAAATGGCCACGGGA